AGAGAGAGAGAGAGAGAGAGAGAGAGAGAGAGAGAGAGAGAGAGAGAGAGACACCCCCACACAAAGAAGACAAAAGCATTCATTGAAAAAATAGTAGAAAACAGCCACAAAATTTAAGCAGCACCCATGCCATGTTCCTATCCATAAAATGACCATGATAACAACGCGTGTATGTTGCACCCAAATTCACTTAAAAACCCTTTCTTTCTTGTCCAGAGCTGTGAGTATTCAACTCTAAAAAGCACTAGATCCGCATGTCTTTTTGTTCAATCCGAAGTAAAGTTAATAAAGCATGTTGTTAACACTGTTCAAAGATACGGGATTATAAATTATAGCTGCAAAGAGAAGTAAATGTACACTAAATTTAAAATTCTAATGGCTATCCCATTTGAGTGCAAACTATAAAGAATAGAGAATTCTCAATAAGCTCAAAAACGTCTACTAACTTCTGTTTATGATAAAAATCATCATCATAAACAAACTTTGAAATACATTCAAAATGTTTATTTTGTTTTAGATTCTTCCGTGATTGGTGATAGGGCCGGCACAGCAGCCTAATTCTGCGTCTTCCCAGTCTGAAGATTCCTCATCCGAGCTGTCAAAGTCCATGTACTCAATGTCAGAGTCAGATTCTTCAACAAAACGAGCACTCTCCTCCCGAACTCGGTTCAGTTCCTCTCTCAGCAGCACAACCCCGTCGTTGTAGGCAGTATACCTCACTTCTAGTTCTGAAAGCTTCTCCATCAGTAGGCCTCTCTCTTCATCAATGACCAACACTTTGTCTTCTGCAAGTAACTCCTCCTCTTGAACTTTGGGTTGTTCTTCATTACGATTGCGCTGATAAGCTCTTGTCTCCTGTTATTGAAAGAGGAACAGTTGTTTTGTGTGTTAGATACATTCTACATAGAATGTTTTAATGGTTGTTTACTGGATCCAAAACAGCACCCAATAGATGACCCAAAGTTTATTGATCCTCAAGGGAAAGCAGTCTTCAAAATACAGTGTATACAAGTACATACATTTAGCATCATTCAGTGTAGTGACATACTTAGAGACATTCAGCTATTAACGTAATTCAAAGTGTGTTGAAGAGTGCACAGATATGTGAGACCGAAAACAGAAGCCACTTATTTTTCCTTAAACAAAGCTTATAAAATCTACATTGATTACTATAAACATAACATAGCCTAAATCTTAACTCAACAATTGTTCGTTTTGTTCATGTAATTTATTAAGCTTATCTAGTTATTCGATTCAAAGTATCGCGACTTTTGCAACACTGCATTAACACGTCAGGTCTCTCTCTCTCTCTCTCTCTCTCTCTCTCTCTCT